GTTTTATAAATTATTTTAATACTTTTTTTTAAATTTTATATATGGCGATTTATAGCAGACAATCAATTTTACAGTAGAACCGATTTTTCTGTTATGGCTCACGACATCGAATCGTATAACAGCTGCACAATACACGAGGAATTGTGATTCGAAAAAAGATCGATGACTTCAACTGTATTCAACGACTGCATGACGATGTCCTATTTATTAGGTCGCGACGAGAGAAAGAGGAGAACGAATGTAGATAAATGGGTGTGGTTGTATAACCGCAATGCAACTCTCGACACTTCATTATGCATTAAGCATGGAGATCACTTTATTATAAGGTCAATAATACATAGGTGTGTATTTCCGACCAGTATGTAACGCGCGAGATGAGTGCCGCCCGTTAACGGCCCCGCTATAATTCATGTGGGTTCTAATTAGAAATCATCAGAGATACAATGAAACATCTAAAGCGATCGTCCGTCTCATAGATAATAAACCGCGTTGTCCAACTTTACGAATTACCCATAATTCTAACGTAATAATTCCAGTTCCATCTACATTGTTCCATATAAATTATGGTGGTTTGCGTTCTTCAATATCGCACAGTTTTTGTATTTGAATATTAAATTATTTAAAAACTGACATAAAAAAAACATATATTATATATAAATCAGATTGTCATAATATCCAAAATTTGTGCGAATAAATCTATTACATGAGTAAATCACAAAATTTGTGCAAATAAATTTTGCATAAATAGAATAAAACAAAATCATGCTAGAGGAAATACAAGATTAGCAGATGAGGCAACTATGTTTTCGAAGTTTGTTCTGGAAGTTTGTCGCATTACAGAACTTCGATAGTTTGGCTGCTATCAATCAAGTTCTTGTTGAAACATACATTGTTTAGAGATCTTTTTGATTCATTACACGAACATCATTGCATAGTGTATTTTATATTTCTTACTTCATGAACCATCTTTGCAACAGCAATCACTCTTGAATAATCTTTTTAAGATCGTATAAATCAAGATGGACCTCGTAGTAAAGAGCAGCAAAAAAAAATAGGAAGCTCTCTCGTGATTCCCACTATCTTTGTCGTAGAAAACATTTTAGCGCGAAAGGCATCGAGTACAGCTATCGCGAACGACAGATATACTGCGGTGACCGTTTTATTGCGAGCATGGCGGCCACGATTAAGTGTAATTGAAGACGGAACGTTGGAAAGCTTTACGAGTAATCGAAAGCTTGCTGCAGCAATGTCTGCGGTAAAAGTGAGGGAACGGATAATGTATACGTGTGTATATGTGAGCGGGTGCATTTATGTGAAAACCTTCTTGACAACCAGTTTCGGTTTTACCTTACGAAACATTTTCTCGCGTCGCCGTGTATTAGACTCAGTCGTGCTATTCGCAAAAGTGTTGCAGAAATTCTTGTGATAAAGTAATGATATATATATTTTATGAATAAATATCTGAAAAAAAAATATAAGAAATTTTTGGAAAATAGAAATTCTTGTGTGTTGTATACATGAAACTTTTCTTATTTCTATGGAATTTTTTGAGAATTCAGAATTTTTGTTTTTTTTTTACGAGGCAATGGTAATAAATTATATTTTTTGAAAAACAAGAGGAAGATTATAAAAATATATTTAAAATTTTATATAAATTATATAAATTTTATATCACACACCAGAAATCATTTCATATACAAAATACAACAAATTTCAATTTTGCTCACTTTTGTACCACTATTCCACGCAAATGGATCATATAATGTTTAAAATATAATTAAAGCGTACCCGAAAACATTACTGCTCCTGTAAATTGCAAATGCTTTTCTGCAGTTCTCTCATCGTTATTTTGTTGCAAGGTATATATTTACCGGAAAGATACATCGAGACGT